AGTTTCTGTAATCAGGCACCAAGAATTATAGATATAATCATGGTTCTTAAAATAATAATAATCTCAATCAGTTTGGAAAGTTTAGTTCCAAATTTCATCAAAAAAGAAATAAGTCAGCACAACCTAAACAGAAACAACACGTCTTTCTACACACAAACATGCTCAGCCTGGAAAACATCTCGCTTTTTTTTTTTTTCTTTTACAGGATTTAAACAGACCAAATTGACAGGATTCTTCTTCTAAAACTTTATTGTTTTGCTTTGCTTTGCTAAAATCAATTTCAGGGTTAATTCTGTAACGGATTTCATTCACTGCTATCATCTGTGTCATCAAAATAATCATCATCATCATCATCGTCATCTGACCAGTCGAATTCACTGAAACCCAAAGCCATGTTGATTTTCTTTCCTTTTCTCATAGAGGTGGTTTTAGAAGAATTCTTTTTGGCTTGCATGTTTATCTGCATTCCAGAATGCAGGACAGATCCTGCTTGGTTCAGAGAGAAGATATCCCCAAAGCCCGTCATCATCAAGGCCTTCAGACTTTGGTTCATGCCAGCTACCTCCCCGTTACTTGTTGCTGTGATCTGACATGACATCTCTGCACTGTTTGACTCCTCTGTTTTAGATTCAAAGTAAGACTCCTCAGACATTCTTGCAGCAAGAGGTAAGAAAAACTATTTAAAGAAGGAAAGGACAGAGCAAAAGTGAAAGTTAGAACCAATTTAAATATCGAAGAAAAAGACACCACCAGATTAGTTGGCAATTAACAGAAAGCACAACGATTAGTGAATCTTAACATGGAGATCAAGTAAGAATTCATTAAATCAGACAGCTTCATTCTGGGGTCATTGTTCTTAAAAAAAAGTGCAAAATCACTGAGTCGCATGGCAAGAACCACAGGTAGCAGAGCTTTCATGGCAAAAGAAGGTTCAAACTCTTCAGTCCTTCATTTTGTACAGGGTAAAACAGAATGTGACATTCCCCAGCCAGGTGGCCTGGCTCCCAAGGCAATGTGGGTACAACAGAAGTCTGAGTGAGTTGCTTAATTGAACCTTTCAGGATTGAAGAATAAATCACATTAAGATCAGAGAACCCAAACAAGCTCCCAAAGTTTGGTGCAGAAGTAGCAGCCTTCTAAGTATCAGAAATGATAGTAGCAGTATTATTTGTGCAAAGACTGGTTTTGAGCATACGCTCCAAAAGGAGAGGAAGGTGTCACGCTGCAACGGCCACAATCAGAAACAAGCCTCTCACCAATGCAAAGGACACGGGAACCAGCCTCCAGCCCGCACCAGCACCTTGCTTCTGGAAGCTGTCTCAAGGAGGAGCAGGCAGGGTGAGAGGGGCTGTTTGGTCGGCTGGTCAGCTTCTTCAGCTTGGTTGCCTTTTCTTTTATTTTCAAGTGATCTTATTAGGTATCTGCCATTTGGTTGTACATCATATTAAATCTCTACTGATATAATCTTCACCTACAGATAATGGTGTTTTCCTGACCCAGTCTGTCTGGAATAACAAATGAAACATGCCCTCTGCAGCGAAATAATGATTCATGCCTCTTCAGAGTGGCTGGGCTAGTAACCTCTCTGACATGCTTGCCTGTTCTCCACAGGGAGTAAAAACTCAGGAGTTTCATCCCAAATTAAACTACCTACTAAAGCAACAGCAAAGGAGCTGTGTGTGAACACCCGAACTGGTCTTTCTTTCCAAAGCTGTTTGCAAAACAACCTGCCCAAAATTCATGGTTTTCCACATCTTTTTTAACCTAATCAGAAAACTGACTGAAGAATCAAGGGCACTTGGTCACAACAAGTTACATGGGTGATAATAGTGATGCCCTGGTCTGTAACACAGGAGGCTTCATGGCCAGGCTGCTCAGAGAGGGCCTGTTTCTTGACAAAACCACTTACATTGACATACTGTCTAGCATTAAAAACGACAATATCTGTCTTTTGTTCCTCTCAAGTTTTCCCTACTTAAACAGGCTATTTGCACTGTGGTTAACAAAAGTTACTGATCATGGTTTCAGAAACGAAAATAAAATTAAGAAGTTGGGGAGATGGGGTGCCCTAAATACTCTTCATGAATCCTATGACTAAGTGACAAAAGAACCTGCAGCTAAGCTTCTGTACACCTGGCTGTACAAGAAAAAAACAACTACACCATCACCAGAGTGCTACACAGATCAAGGACACCAAAAGCTCCTACTGATAAAGAGAAGGAACACTTTAAAAACAAGATCTAGCCACAGAAACAAGATGCCCAGCACACACAATTCAGTGCCAGGTAGTTTTTCTGTCAGCTATAGGAGTTTTAGTCATTTTAGATCCATGCAAAAGCATCCCCTGACATACAGGAAGAACTCCCTACAAAAATCGTCCAAGCTGCAGAACAGCTTTCCTCTAAACCACGTTCCTGGATCAGTGTTTGTGCAATGCCTGGCAGTGGGTAACCTGTGACTGGGCCATAACTGTGGCTCATTTTGCAAGTTATAATCACCTTACTTCCTTCGTATTTTGCCATCTCGTTATCTGGAGAACTTAAGAGATCTGTGCAACAGCACCTGCCTTTGGTGTTGCATTGCATAGGATAACTATCATGAAAAGACTTTTGCAGGTGGCTGGGATCCCCAGTCTCTGTACAAGCCACTGTTCTTAAATGACCACCTGCAGTTGCACAGCATCACAGGTGACTACCTGGATTTCATGTCTTGCTCACTGTCTTCCTCTAAATAGCTACATACACTCCCTTCTTAAAGTCTAGTCCTCTTTCAAAAGAAGTCTCCCATTTCACTGCAGCTGTGGATATATTTTACTCCTCCAAAAGGCTCCAGATTCCCTTGTGCAAGAGGCTCTTGGAGATCTGCACAAAGGGAATTTGCAGAGACCAGACTCAAAGGTGTCTGTTGTATACAACACAGCAGAAAACAGGCAAAACAAGAGCAGGGAGAAATACTACTTTCACCTAAGTGTTTCTAAAGATGGGCCTCATCCTTCTCTCATGCTGATCTGTGTAAAGCTATACTTTACTCTCTGGAGTAGGAGCAGCCTGCCACTTATAGCTACCTACCATGCAGGATGAAGCTTCTACCAATCCTAAAACACTGGAGGATCAAGTGGCAGAGACAGCTTCCCTGTACTCCTTTCACTTGGTTTGAGTTTCTTCTCCTGCACACCACTTTTAATAGTATCTGCTGGCCTCTGGTTTTTGCTGCAGAGCGAAATGAAGAAGCGACTGCAGAGCACAGAGCAGGGCTGACAGCACCAGCTAAGACACAACAAGGCCTAGTGTTGGTTAAGAACCAGATATAAGCCAAGTAGGTACCCTAAGCTGTATTACTAGCTCTGGTTGCCATCACTTTACTACCGTTTTCACAGCCAAGATAGCTTAAAAAGGAGCAGTGCACCTCCCTGTTGCAATACTCCAGTTTGATACTGCTGAGCAGACATACCCTGAACGAAGGGACGGAGGGAGATGCTCGACTCCAAGCATTACAGCTTGCAAACAGAATTCCCAGGGATATTCTGCAGATGATTTACAGCCATGAATTTAAAATACAGTTGTATTCCTAACCAGTACCTTGCAGAACTTAATTTACTATGAAAAAACCAAAACTGCTTGAACAAGCAAATTTTTGCCAGTACGTCAATTTTTTTCCAAGAAAAAGGCTTTTTTTAAAGCTGTTCCACGTAACAGTTCACTAAAGATCTACGGAAAAAACAAACCTGTATTCCTCTACTAGAAGAAATTGCATTTAAATGCAATAGGAGAGTTGGGTTAATGTTATGCAGAAAGATAGTAAGATAGTTCATGCTTAGCACAATAGGCCTTAGCACAATGCTTTATTCTTTCAGCAATGCCAGCTCTAAGTGAAAAGTAGAAGTCATAAGCAAGTACAGCATAAAAAACCCTAGGGCCTTGCTCGTGAAAAGATTTGCTCATTAAGGCTGCGTCTCATGCTGTGCTCAGGATAGATGATGGCCCACAGCTCAGTTACAGGAAGTTTGCAAGCGTTGAAGCAGGCATACAGATATCTACTGAGGACATACAGTATCTGCACATAAGGAAACATTCATTCTTCATGATTTCATTACTGCGTGTTCACAGCTGGAACATGAATGCAACTTCCTTCAAACAATAACAATAAGCTGTGCCTTAAAACCAAGTTGTATGTAAATGGGTCTGGCTGGAATCAAGGTTATAAGTAAGATAAAATTGTCCATTAAAAAAAAAAAATCATTTGCTACTGCAATCTCAACTTGGTATTTGCTAGTGCTTTAAAAACAAGTATGTAATGTGGTATTTTTTGTAACAACAATTGTGTTGTAATTTGTCTAGCCATGCACTAACCCTGTGGTCCTTCCTGTGCCAATCAGTAGTCAAGAACATCGTATTTCGTTAAAAAATTCAAGATAATCCAAGGAAGTTTTTTTGTTCAACTTATTAATAGAAATGTGGCAATCCTAACAGCAAATTACTAGCCAGTACAAGTATGTTAACTGTAATTATGAACAAAGCCCTAAATTAACATTTCAAATTTTGACCCCTTTTTTTTTACAGAATGGAAATTTGCTTCATCTCAAAGAAAAGAACAGAATAAAAAAAAAAAAATCTACATAGGTTTCTCAGACCTTCTCCTGTAAGAAACAAATGATTAATCCTGCATCCATTAAAGTCAACAACTTTCTAGTTGAAAAATTAATTTATTGAATGCAATAAACTTTTAAAGCTGAGAACTGTAATTAAATCAATGGGAAACTACTGAAGTGCCCACGACATTATATGAACTATCAGCAATATCTGATATCTAATGTATTAGATGAAATTTTAAAAAATAGTATAGTTATTGGCAGTGATGTAATAAAATAGACTTTAATTGGCCCAAAGGAACATCTAAAGAAAACAGGGGCACTATTTTCTTGGTATGTCTTTAGATTTACACAGACAAAGCTCCAAATACTTTCTGAAGTAAGATGAAAGGTTGAATTGTTGTCTACTTACAGGAGTATTGGACTGTTCGGTTAACTTCTGCTCCCACATCTTCAAACGTCGCTCCCGTTCCTTTAGTTCCTGCTCTTTAAAGCTCAGATCACGCTCCAGTTTCTTTAGTCTCTCTAAGGTTGCCTCAATTTCACATCTGCATGGAGACAATTTGTTACGTCTCGTCTTTTTCTGACAGATATAAATTGTTCATAATTCCCACTTGAATGTTAATTAAATGTGAAAGGCTGAAAAGTACAACACTAACTCAAGCAGTTCATTTAATTACCAAATGCAAAGCCTTTCAGAGCTTTAAGAACAACTGACAATGCTTACACTTGAGAATAACCATAATACCTTCAGTTGAAGAAAAATAACATTTAAAAGAGTAAATGCCATATAATAACAACATTTTAAAAACTAAAATGTTGTCTTTTCCCTCAACATCATGAAACATGATCTTATCCATAGAGAAACTGCATTAGGACCTGGTAACGGGACAATCATTAGCAACACAATATGGACAGTCTAAGAAGCCCATTTGCCTGGGTTTGTAACTTGCCTATAAATATTATTTGGACTCAAAATATGCAGAAGCAGCACTGGGTTGTTTGTCCCACCTACCTTCCTGTTTCTCTAGGTGAAGATGTAAGAGCAAGAATACAAATCACTACATGACCCAGCCCTACAAATGGTTACAAATACAAGCTTCTCAAGTTAGGAACAGTTAATAAAAGAATTTGGTTTACTTTTCTCTGCTTCTCACCAGACATGCAAAGGTGTGAAAAATAAGAAAGGCAGGAATTGAAGGCAGTAGTCTAAGCAGCTTCAGATACCATCTTTATTGGGTTGCCTTGCATGTACCTCATCCCTTAACAAAGTAGCTTCCTTTGATGTGCTTTCTGATGGATAGTATCTTTTAAACACATGAACTGAACTGCTCTTGGAACAGAGAGTAACAAGTTTTGCACTACAAATGCATGGGTGTACACTAAAAGGTACATAAAAATAATTCTGTCACTAAATTCAGCCACATTTTTTGCTTGTGGGTTAACCAAAGAAAAACCTCCAGTTTGTATCAGAGGTTGTATTTGCATTTAACAAACCATTTCTGTGACTGACTGGGAGACTGTGCACTGCCTGTCACCTGTGTCCTGACTGTGACTTCAACCGTTTCCTATTCATGCTGTGGGCATAGTCAATCACAGCATTTCATTCTTCAGCTAGAGAGAGCAAGCTCCTAAGGAGACAGAGATCCTAAACAAAGCTGTGAAGACAGATAGCTATTGGGTGTCTGCAATGCCAAATCTTCGGCTCAAACTTTCACAATGTTTTCCCTTCATAAACACAACGCAAACAAAATCTGCTCCTTCTGATGTTTTCAAAAAGGAAATGAACGGACTAACAGAGTTAGTTGTCATTTTTATTTCTGGGAGAGAAAAAAAAAAAAAAGAATTATTTCTTCCTGTAAATTTCCTGTCCTAGCATAGAATGATTAAGATCTTCTCCGGTATTAACCTAAAGGAGTTGAAGCTCTCAATGTAGGAAAATGCATACCCAAATAGCCTATTTAAGTAAACAAAATAATTTAAATATTCTAAATCTTATAGATTTCTTATTTCAATTAGACATCTCTGTCAGACGGTAATGCTTACAAAGTACAGTGACTAGATTCAGAGCTAGAATAACTAGAAAACTCTACTGCAAACTCTACCACCAGGCTTAATTCCACTGCAAAAATCAGCCACCCGGGGCAAGAGCATTTATCACACTTAAATCCTGCTGAGTGAGCTGTTCAATGTGGTGGTCAGAACAAATGCCCCTCACAATTACTATGCTTCAGATTTCAAGAAAAATTCTCTCCTGTATTTAGGCATGCAAAGGTCAAGGCTGAGCTCTGTGCTAGGTGGAAAGTGGTCACACATCCTAATAAAGAGGTAATAAAGGAATAAAACTAAAAAGCACTGGACAGAAAGTCAGGGACTCCTCTCCAAACATTCACTTCCCTATCATAAACAATTCCTGTCAGATGCAACATTTACGATGCACTGTGGGAACTACAGAGTAATAGGAGGATAGTTGCAAGTGCTGCTTTTCTTAGTTTGTCACTGCTACTTACATGCAACTCTATTAATTTTTAAAATATGTAAATACGTAAATTAAGTTCTCTTTTAAATAACATTCTGCATTAGGAAAGTCCCAGTAACAATAGCTTTCTATATGTCAAAAGTCTATTTTGTGCTGTAATTATCTCTCTTCATTAGACAGAAACTTCTCTTATAATAAAAGGTCAGTCTACGAAAACAGTTGTATTCTGAAAAATAATTCCACTGTATAATAAAACTGTGTAATTAAAGAGAAAGCTACCGTACATTGCTCAGTTAATGAGTCTTACTTCATAAATGAAGCAGCTTGAAACATTATACATGGTAGGGCATGTGGATTTGTTTGCTTCTGCAGCTTTGCAGTCTGAGTTTACTGGCTTTTCTAGAATAATCTCGCTCTGTGACACTGAAGAACGTATACTATGTTATTAGAAAATATAACAATAAATAGCCACAGATTAAAAACAATGACTGGCATTTGTTTATACGTCTTGAATTGCTACGGATACACTAATATAAGTATCACTAATAGACTATTTTAATCATTAGAACAGCCACTCACGGGGAGAGGATGGAAGCAGAAACACAGTTAGCATATATGACTAAATGCAGACAAATGTGATCTCTCACTGACTTGGAACATCATTACTTCAACAGTAATTTTTTTCCTACTGTAATAAAAGTGACTTGAGAAAGAGCTCCAGGAAGATCACAGAATATGAACTTAAACATAAGGCAGACCTGTGCAACTTAGTCGTAAGACAGTGCGCCTATTTGATTAAAAAATAAAAATGTGAAGGGTAAAAAAGTTAGGAAATAAGATGCTGAATTATTTTAAGGAAATGATAGAACAGGCAGATTAAAATGTACTATTAATATAAACATCAAGAACAGTAAACGTTGCAAATAAGACCACATTAAAGATAGGTCAAAGTGCCATTTATCTTCTCTCTGTCAGTCACATACAGACTCAGCCCACTCTCAGTTTTCATGCCTGCCAGTGATGTTGAACGCTGGTTACTCACTGTTACAAATGCATTTTTTGCACTTCTCTAAAAAAAACAACCTCACTTTGCCTTTTTTTAAGAGCAGGAAAAAAAGTAATAGAGCTTATCTGAGTTTTGATTGGCTTTGATAACTGCAGCATCCCTGTGAAAGTGCAGTTGACTGAATCACTGATTTGGAGGTCCCTCAAAGGAACAAGCATAACCTTCGCTTTTCCCAAGCCCACCCTTCTCCAGGGCTCCGATAGCATGGCTTCATTAAAATTTCCTATTTCTTGGTAACACAGCTCATTCTTTCCCTATTGCTGGTTCAACTACGTCTTTGCAAATCACTATGGGATAAAAAAATATTACAAAAAAAAAAAAAAATCCAACAAGGAAAAGCAAAGATTTTTCAATGCAGAAGCTAAAACACATTGAACTTCTGTGCAACTGTTCTCCAAAATGGTCTTAGCCTGTTTTAGTTTATCCCTTGGGATCACTTTATGCATATAAGTCTTTCACCTACTTTAACTTGCCTATTTGTTGCATACTTTGTTAATTTGGCTTAGTCTTCACAAGTACGTCCATGCAGACATGGCTGTGGCATCAGGGAAGGCAGCCATTACCGGAATTCAGGTAAGAGAGCACCTCTCTCACCCAGCTTCTGAGCCAGTCCCTGCACAACTTGCGCTCTCTCTGCACTTTGTGTTTTCATTTCAGCTTAACTCACAAATCACTTTTGCTTTCAGGCAAATCACACCCCATCATGAATTCGTATCTTTTCTCTCATATTTCCTTGTCTCCGAGTTATTTATTCTTAAAAAAATAAATTGCCGAATTTACCTTTAACACAAGTCTCCATAGTAAGAAGGTTTTCTGCAACTTGATTGTGCTGAAGAACTTATTGTTTCTAAATCATTCCTCATTAACACCTTGTTAGCCACTCCTCATCTAAACAATTCAGGTGCATCAAAATAAAATTTGCAAGAAATACTTGGGCTACTTGGGTGACACTCCAAGAAATGTTACCAAATGTCAACTATCACAGCTTTTGTTTTGCTATACTGGCAACATTTAACTAGTTATTTGTTTTTCCTAAAAGAATTTGAGTACTTGCTCGTCTTTCAAACAAATATTTTTACTATACAGGGATGTATAAGCAACCCCTCAGTGGGGGATCTTTTTCTTCCAATCCTCCTTGTATTCTGTCTGCTACCAAAACCACAGTATGTCCAGAGTCTGTATAAATAATAGTGGCCAAGAAATACGTTTTTATACTCTACATACTCGACATTTGTCCCAAGCTTTAAAATATGGATTTGGGGGACGTGAGGGCATATGGATACATCCCAAAAGCAACGCCACGGACCACATCACTGACGAATTCTCTGAGGGCGAGAGGAAAGCCCAAACACACCGAACACAGCGCGACGGGAACCTCCCAGCGCCGTCCGCAGGCGAGCGGCGGAGCG